TTAATTTGAGTTATTTACTTTAAATTTCAGCCACTTTTGACTCTTTATATTTTTTATGTTCCTCAATTAAGTCAATCTTTCTTATACAAAGTTTTATATTGTTATATGGTTTTTTACTTTAGTACTAAAAGAACGGTTGAACTTAAATCTGGTCGCATTTAAAATTTTAATTCAGTAATTATTTTTGTTATCAAATTAGGTGTTTGAGATTAAAAACAGGAATGTATGATAATTATCAAAACTTTCTGGGAGATCAAGATCGACAAATTTCTTTTATGCCTATTTATTTATATATATTTCTATATAAAGAACTGCTTTTGATTTTAAAATGAAGCATAGTGACAATGTTTTATATACTACTATCAAAGAATCCTTTCTTTGACCAATACATTTTTTAACATGTACGTTTATGTCTCAATACAGAGCGTATAGCAAAATTTTGTTTCTGGCATAGCTATTTTTATTGCAATTTTCTTGAAACATAGTTAAAAAACAGTAAATGTGTATACTTCATCTTGACATTATTTCTGCTATTTGTCTATACATAGTTGCTAATATACAAAGGGAAATCAATGTTCAATGTTAAAATTAACCACATATCATGACTTTTCTTACAAATATTGCGTTTATGTAGTTATACTTTGCCTTATTTTATATAAATTTGTAAGCTTGGAAGCTAAAATGTCCTAATTTTTTCTGTATTAGGGGAATCGACAAGGCTCAAATGATTTCAGTAAAACTACAAAAATATGTATAGTGTATCCTGGACCGGTCGCCCCATCTCCAATGCAATGTAATGATGTTATGGAAAATCGAGAAAACTGTCTTCCATTAATTTGATGATCGATCATTTTCAAACTTTTCATTTTATAGTCTATAATCTAAATCTATAATAACAAAAAACAATGTTCCATTCGAAAAATTAAGGCATCTACTTGGAATGGATCATTTCAAGTCGGTGCCAGAAATTAGAAATATTAGTATTCTGTAGAGCACATCTCATATAGTTAGCATATTTTTTATTTCTCAGATTTCCCATAATAACACTATTCTTGTCCAGTTTAATAGGGGCGGACAGGTGTTTCGGAACATTCTGTACATCTAGACTATGAATTTCATTTATTTATAACTTATTCCAATCTGCGAAACCTGAGGGAAGCTTAGTGAAATTTTCATATTACTTCATATTCTTCGTTATTACAAATTGATATATAAAGAGGTGAATTTGTATAAAAAAAATTGCATTACATACATAACATTATGTATGAAACAAGAACTGCTTTTAAAGTAGTTATCTAGAAACTGACTACAATTATAATATTATACATTAATTTTGTGTGATATTGATAATAGGTACAAGACATAACATAGAATATACAATTGTGTAACTTTGTTGCTCTTTATGAAAATTTTATAGTGTACAATTCTAAAGAAATATCATGTACTACAATGAATTAAATACAATTTATAATTATTTACGAAATAAGAAAGTATATTCGATATATGTGTACATGTTGCATA